GCTGGGTGACTTTGGGCCAATCACCAGGAGATGGGGAGTTCTAGTCCCGCCTTAGGCACAAAAGCTGGCTGGGTGACTCTGGGCCAATCACCAGGAGACGGGGAGTTCTAGTCCCGCCTTAGGCACAAAAGCCAGCTGGGTAAGTTTAGGCCAATCACCAGGAGACGGGGAGTTCTAGTCCCGCCTTAGGCATGAAAATCAGCTGGGTGACTCTGGGCCAATCACCAGGAGACGGGGAGTTCTAATCCCGCCTTAGGCACAAAAGCCGGCTGGGTGACTCTGGGCCAATCACCAGGAGACGATGAGTTCTAGTCCCGCCTTAGGCATGAAAGGGGTAATTTGGGCCAGTCCCTCTCAGCCCAGCCCAGCCCAGCCCACCTCACAAGGTTGTTGTTGTGGGGAAAATAGGGGGAGAAAAGAGTACTGGATTCGTTTGCCACCTTGAGTTACTTATTAAAATAATAAAGGTGGGAAATAAATAAAAGTTAGAAGGCAAATTGTCCCAATGGGGGGAGGGGAAAACCATTTCCCCGGATTAAAGATTTCCACCTCATCCCACAGCCCCCTCCCTCCCTGCCCCCACCGTCCACTCACCCGTCCGACTCGGCCTCGGTGAACCAGTATTTGTACAGCTGGGCCCGGATGTAGGTGGGGGGCTGGTCTCTGAAGGGGTACTTGGAGTCGTCCACCTGCACAAGGTGGATCACTGCAGGGAAATTGAGGGGGGGGGGCCCAGATCGGTCAATTGGGCAGCTGGAATAAGCAAACCGGGGGTCCCCCGCCCTCTGTCCCTGTCCCCCCTACCACTGACACCCCCCCGATAATGCTGGAGATGGATGCAGGAGGCTCTAATCTGCCTGGACCCCAGGTGGGCAGCCCCCATTGGAGCCCCCCAGCCCAGAATCATCCCCCACCCCTGCTCCTCCCTTCCAACAGCTCCAACCAGGAGCCGTTTTCTGAAAGGTTCATCCAGATGTTGCCTTCTGGAAGGCAACTCCATCGTCCTCGGGAATCAGAGCGAAGAGGCTGGACTTTTTGCGAGTGCAACGTCCTTTCGCACACACCCAGGGCAGTGATGCATCCTGCAGGGGGCGGGCGCCCTCTCAGGCCAAATCCCACCCAGCCCCCAGCTCCTTCAGCCCCCTGCTCTGGCCATTTGCCCCCCACCCCACCCCACAGCACCATCGTCTGGGGTATCTGAAGCTGGGCTGCCACGTAGGTGCAAGGGGGTCTCTCTGGGACCACGAGAACAAGGCTTGGAAGGGGGGGGAGGAGGGAAGGAAGGAAGGAAGGNGTGAAACATCTTCAAAGAAAAACAAGAAAGTCCAGTTGCCTCTTGAAAAAAGCACCTGTGGGATAACTATGACCTGGTTGACTGAGAATCTCCACTGTCATTCCTTGGCAATCCTCTTGCAGCTGTCCTCCAGATGTGCTGGACCCCTGCTTCCATCATCCCCCCTCCCAGGAAGGTGAGGATGCCTTTTTGGGTTACATGAAATGGATGAGGAGGAAGGGAAGGACCGGGGGCTTCTGTGGTTCGACTTGATGCTCGTTTTTATTTTAACCGTCCAGTCGTATCCGACTCTTGTGGGGATTTGATTTTGATTTGATTTTTGATTTTATTAGATTTCTACCCCGCCCTTCTCCGTGCGGACTCAGGGCGGCTTACAGCCCGTTAAAAACAAGTAAACAAATACAAAAAACATACATTTTAAAATCAATTAAAATAAAATATTGCAATAGGCCAATTAGTATCTTTTAAAACCAATAGAAAACTAATTAAAAGTAATACTTAGGCCAGTCCTGCCTGCTTAAAAAGCCACGTCTTGAGGGCGCGGCGGAAGGAGGGGAGATCCGGAATCACCCGGATCTCTGGGGGGAGTTCATTCCAAAGGGTGGGGGCTCCCACCGAGAAGGCCCTCCCCCTGGGGGTCGCCAGCCGGCACTGTCTGGCCGACGGCACCCTGAGGAGACCCTCTCTGTGGGAGCATATCGGCCGGTGGGAGGTGATCTGAGGCAGCAGGCGGTCCCGAAGGTAACCAGGTCCGATGCCATGGAGCGCTTTGAAGATGATAGTCAACACCTTGAAGCGCACCCGGAAGGCCACCGGCAGCCAGTGCAGCTCGGATGGCGGACGAGGGCTCTCCACGCTACCCTGTCAATCACAAGCTTCTTCCCGTTGTTGCACGTTCAGCCTTGCATCGTTTTTGACCTTATCAAGCCAGCCTGTCCTTTGCTTGCCCGCTCTTCTCGTTCCGCTGACCGTGCGTAGCCTCGCTGACTTTTCCGGTGAATTTGCACTCGTGACATGGCCAAAGTAAACCAGACTTTGGCGACTTTGGCTTCGAAGTGTTGTGTCTGGTTTTCATACTATTCAGCAGCTCCCCGTCGGTCGATCACTTAACCCACTTAACAAATGTCTCATTTAACAACGTAAGTTTCAGGCTCAATTCTCGTCGAGAGGACTGCCTGTATGCATGCATGTGTACACACACACACACACACACACAGAGTTGGAATGTACAGGGTTTATTTAGAAAACCAAAGCCGTCTCTTGGGTCCCACGTGTCAGAAAGAGCAACTTGCCCCCCCCAAAGGCGCAAGTGATTAGTCCAGCGAGGCCCCCGTTGCCCCCAGCCCCACTGATGCAGCAGGGAGCAGCGGACGTGCCCCCCCTACCCCCCAAAGAAGGTCCGTGGGGGGAGGCTCGGGATGGAGACAGGAGTCCCGGTGCCCACAGGGCAGAGACCACCACTTCTCTCTCAGCCAGGTCCCCCCACCCCCCATTCAGCCCCCTGGTGGGATATGGGGAGAAGGGGGAGGGGTGGGGGAAGGAAGGAAGGTAGAGAAGAGGAAAGGAGGGAAGGGAGGAAGGGAAGGAGGGAGGGAAAGAAGGGAAGGAGGGAGGGAAAGAAGAGGTGGGGTGGGGGAGGAAGATAGAGAGGGAGGGGGAAGAGAAGGGAGGGAAGGGAGGAATGGAAGGGAGGGGCTCCTGAGACTCACTTCACCCCCACCAGCCAGACTTCACCTCCCACCCACCCACCCCGCCAGCAAGGACAGAACGTTCCCTGGGGATCCCCAAAGAACCAAACATGGGGGACCCTCGGCAACCCACCCAGGGGGCTCCCAGAGCCCCCCGCCCCGTTCTGTCCCAGAGTGAAGGAGAACCACAGAGCAAGAGAGGGCAGAGAAGAGCAAGCGGGCCGGTGTGTGTGTGTGTGTGTGTGTGAGTGTGTATGCTCAGGCCCATCAGCTTCCTCCTCCTTTCGCACTGCCCCTCCCTCAATGCCCCGGGAGGACCTTTGGGGGGGGGTGAGCGGGGTGTTCAAAGAGGCTTCCACCCCACAGCTCGCGCATGCGTGTGTGTGTGTGTGTGTGTGTGTGTGTGACAGGAGAGGAGAAGGCGACCAGGTCCATCTGGGTGGCGAAGGCTCTCCCCACCCAGCTCACGTCCCGCCTGGCGTCCTGCAGAGGCTGGGGGGGGGTCCCGGAGCCACCGCTGCCCCCT